AAAAAAAAAAAAATCCTGACAGCCAATATCTGTGGAGGTCTTGATAGGACAATTCCTGGACTGTGCATTTTGTATGTGTTCTCTCGTGCAATCCCTTCCGTAACCCTTTGAGGTAGACTCCCATTCTCCCTACTGTAGCTCCTTCCCTACCAGGATCCTGAACCAGCCCCCCTACTGACCACTCTGCTCATCTCCAGGTCAGGCAACGAAAAGAACAGTCGTGAATGGAATCCATGAATGAACCCAAATCTTAAGTGATTCATTCACCCACCCTATCACAAGTGTCCAACGTATAAATGGCACTCAGCAGTGACAAGAGACAAGGCTCCCGACCCCCAGAGCTTTCGTTCCAGGTAGGGAAGACAGACAATAAATGGACAAAATTTCAGGAGGCAAGAAAGAGCTACCCAGAAAATAAAAGGGTGATGGGGTGGTGGCTCCTGCCTCCCATACTGTCTTCAGACCCGAACGCACAAAGGTGAGCTCAGGGGTACACTGGTCACAATCTAATGACCCGAGGAAGCCTGAGTAACTCCTATATTCAGAAAGAAGACAAGATAAACAAAAGCTCCTTAGCGTCATCGGCCACATCATAAAGGGCTTGGGGAACAAAGGGGGTAAAGGCTATTACTTTTAGAAGGGGGGAGAGAAGGAAAAAGGAAGAGGATGCGAATGGAGGGCCGTGCAACAGCTTGCTCAGTGACACGGCATTCTGGAACCAGCATTCTGGAACCAGAATCCTCCTTCGGGGCGGGGAGGCACGCCACCTCCAGGTTTGTCCCGAGTGCTTCACTCTACAGGTTTAGGGCTCCAGCGAACACACTTCTCCAAGAGGGGCCCGTCAAGGCTCTTCCTCGGCTCTCTCCCACTCAGGGGACAAAGAGGGCTGACGACTGTGGCGGAAAAGCGGTGCGAGTTGGGGGGATGGACTTAAGCGGCGTCTCCGGTGGGGAGCAGCGAAAGGCTCCGCCCAGCGCTCCCGCGGCTCCCTTCTGGGTTGGCAGAGAACTTTCTACACACTGCGGCGCTGGGGACTCCTTGCCCACCCGTGCAGCAATGCGAAGCAGGAGTTGGCCCGACTGCTCCGCCGCATTCCGCATGTTGTCGGGTGGGCCCCGCTCCACGTTCACACGTCCAGGAAATTATTACGTAACTCAAGAGAGCACGCTTTCCCGCCCGCAGGAGGCTGCGGCGTTGCGGGACAGGGCAAGCCTCACCCCCGCAGGATGGGGCCAGCTTTCCGCACGCGGGGGCGCAGCGCACAGCCAGGCGGCTGCCGGGCCTAGGCCGCCTCTCGCCCGGGGCCCTACCTACTCCCGGCCC